TCCTCCGCAAGTTCAGCCTGACCATCTGCTCCTGCCTCATCTGCTTCGGCTTCACGCTGCACGAGTCCTGCAAAGAGGTGAACGCTACCAGCCTCAACCTCACAGTCTGCTCCTCCATCATGCTGCACAGGTGAGGAACTGGCGCCTCCCTCACCCTGCAGGGCCTCTTGCTCTTGCCCTTCCCAGGTAGAACTGATTCCCTTCTAACAGGCTTCAGGTTCTTGCATCATCCAGCTATAACAGTTACAGAGAGGGATGGGTGCTCTCCCTATAGCCTTGACAATTGTGTCTTTGCTCACTGTTGCCTCCTGGTATTAGGACAGTCCAAGTCTGACTCCAGGCTGACACTTAGTTCTCTTAACTACCAGAGGAGGAGATAGCCCTGGTGGGAAGAGGTCAGACAGTAAGTCCCCACTGCTGACTTCTTGTGTTCTCTCATTTACCAGCAATGCTGATGGTGCTCCTGACTGGTTTGGAACATTTTCCAATGCTCTTCTTGTAGCCCAGAAGCTCACAGCTGGCCTCATTGTTTTACACACAGGTAACTCCTCGGTCCCCACTCTGAGGGAAAACTTGCATCCTTTGCCTCTTTCTTTACTCCCTTTGCCAGAGCACAAACTCCCTGGTGGAAGCAGACATTGCAGCAGCCCCTCAGCACAGGCATAAAGCCCCTTGTCTTACTAAGCATTACCCTAAGGGATTAAAGACAGCACCTTCAGAGCTGACTCTGCCCCCTACCAGCCTAGTGAAGTGCTGATTCCTTTACAGTCTCACCAGAAGAGCAGCATCCCTCTTCGCCTTCTTGGAAATTAGCTAACAGCATCCCACAGCTCTCCAAATATATTTCCTGCCTCAGAAGTCCTTCTATGCCTGCTGCCATCTTGTGAAGCACCCCTCTTCCTTCCCCCAAACAGCCCTGGTGCAGCTGTGGCTATCCTGGAGCTGGAAACCTTTTTAAACCCTCTGGAGGGGTGGAGAGCCAGCTCCTCATCACCTGCACACCATTGCCTGGCAGAGTAGGTCCAGCTGCTCTCTGACACTCTTAAAGGGTCTCTTCTCCCTTTCCACCATGTCCTGTAGTGCTGTGCCTTGGTGCCAAGCAGAGTGTTGCACATTGAGATGTGCAAGGTGTCCAGACCAACAGAAACACCTCCTGATTTGAGAGGCAGCCCTGCTTTGGAGAGGGGTAGTGAGCATTACTGCTCTGTGTCCTTCACGCCACTGAGGCTGGGCTGCTCTGCCTGGCAGGTGGGAAAGGCTGTTTTGAAGAGCCCAAGCAAAACCTGAGCAAATGCTTTGTCCTGTGCAGACATGGCTGGGTCTCTGGATAAATATTATTCTCTGGGTTGGAGCTCTCCTCTGGTGCAAGCCTGTGGTGACCGACAGACGAGGGCACACCCTGCCTTCACTCCCTAGGTCTGGTCCTTAGCCAGATCTGTTCTGGCATGCCAGGCTGTGAACTGACCATGGCATCCCCCCGGGGAGTCTCCCTGTGCAGTACTGCTGCACTCCCCTGCCTTGCCTGTCCGGGCGCTTGGAGCTGATGTGGGGAGTGTGCTCTGAAAGGACCTTGAATGAAAGGTTTGTTTCAGGGCCATGTACCCCATATCCCTTTGGAGTAATAGCTGCTGGTGGATGTTGTAAAGCGTGGTCCCTGTGTGATACTAAATGAGACCCTCTACTCCCACAGTGTTCATCTCCATCACCCACGTCCATCGCACCAAGCCCCTCTGGAAGAAGAGTCCCCTCTCCAACCGGTGGTGGACACTCACTGTGGCTGTTGTGTGAGTATGGCCAGGCCCTGAGGAGGCACTCCAGAGTCCTGGTGGGGAGGAAGGCTCCAGACCTGCTGCAGCACCATCTGTGGTCCTGGGAAGCTCTTGTGGTCCTTGGTAGCTCTGCTGAGATTTGCTGTGTCTGTTTCTGCTCTTAGATTGCTGGGGCAGGTGGCTCAGACTGCGCTGGACCTGAAACTCTGGGAAAACTTCAATTCTTCATTGACCTTTAACCACGTTTCCATCTCCCCGGTCTCATGGCTCCTGGGATTTCTTTCCTTGGTCCTTGTGGTTATCATCAATGAGATTGTCAAGCTGCATGAGATCAGGTATGGGGGTAGTAGGGAGGATGGGGAGGAAGGGCTGGAGCCTCATTCCAGCCTGGCCTTGAGCTGCAGAAAAATGCTGCACAGGGTGGGGTGGGGCGGGGTGGGGAACAAAAAGGAAAAGACAATGGCACTGTGTAAATCACCTGGCTGTTGTGTGCAAGCTCGTGTCCCACCTCTCAGGGAGGAGGCGCAGGGGAGGAAAGAGGGTCAGGGAGGGGCAGTGGCAGTGATTGGGAGCAGGAAGGGAGACCAGAATTTCCTTATCTCAAACCAATGAGAGGGAGACAGGCAAGGTCTGTGAAATGCCAGTATGGAATTGAGGAGGGCTGTTCTCTCCATCTCGTCCCATGAGGACAGAGAGGCATTGAATCACAGCAGAGGAAATACGTCTTCACACAGTGCCTGGACTGTGGGACTTGTTTCCAGGGGAAGTGGCTGGAGCCAAGAATGAGTAGCAGGCAAAGTGACTGGCTGTTCTTCCTAGCACAGGGAGCAGCTGGAGCTGGGAGTAAACGGGAAATGGGCTGGTGAGGAAAAGCAGCAGGGATTACAGGGAACCCTGATGGGGATGGAGCTGCTGTCTCTGTTCCTGGAAAGGATTTCTGGACTTTTCTCTGCTATGTCTGGTAGGCCTGGAGATGGAACTTGGCTGGATGGGGTAGGACTGGGAACATGGGTTGCCCTCTGGATTTGATTCCCCTCCTAGGGGCCACAGGGCCCAGGTCAGGGGCTTCCTTGCTGCTTGGGGCTTCCTTGCAGCTCAGGAATCGCAGCAGGGCAGCCTTGCTTGCCTTTCACTTACCTCCACGTGCTGACTCTTCTTTCTTCTGCCCTCTCCAGGGTCCGGGTCCGTTACCAGAAGAGGCAGAAGTTACAGTTTGAAACGAAGCTGGGGATGAATTCGCCATTTTAAACACTCCCAGCTCGAGTTCCCTGGAGCCAGGGCCACACAGCCACCTCCTGCTCTGGGAGAGCAGCTGTACCAAAGGCTCAGGGACTCTTCCCTCACACGTTCAAACCAGACAGCCTCCTTGCAAAGCTACATCAGCACCTTCCAGAGGGCCCCAGGCAGGGCACTGCTGTCAGGATCCCCCAGCAGGTAGGCAGCCCCTTCCCAGCCTCCTAGGGTACTCCAAGGTACCTAGGAGGAGCTCTGGGGGTTTTTCAGGCTGCTCTTCCTTTATTTATTTATTCCCAGCGGTTTTTGTTAGTGTCATGGTGATGCTGAAATGAATCGATTCCTTCCCTCTGTGTGAGCAGATGGGTTTCCTGGATCTGGCAGGAGAATCTGGGGCCAGCAAGGGAGACATGGGGCTGCTGTAGCAAGAGATCTCTGTTGAAACCTCTTTTGTTTTTCCATCTCTGGGTGCTCTCCTGGATGACGTGTGCATGCATGCCTCTGCAGGCCCTCGCCCACCTCCCTGTCCCTGTGTGCCAGGGCAAAGGAGCCATCTCTCTTGCAGCTCCAGGAGTGCTGGCTGCCAGGGGAGGACGGGGGCTCGCATTCCCAAAGGAACACTGGGAAGGGTCCCTGGCAGGGTGCTGGGCAAGGCCCTGCCCTGGCCAGGCTGTGCCAGGCCTGCCCTCTAGCGTCGTTGCTGTGGCCATGTGCTGGCTGTTGAGTGCTTCCAGAGAAGAGGAGTGAGACAGGGCTTTAAGAAAAGCTGTCCATGTTTGACCCTGGTGATCTGGTGCAGAGGGAGTCAGGAGGGCAGCTCTGCCTGCCTGCAGGGAGCCAGTGTGGCTCAGCCTCCTCCAGCCCTGTTGAAGCAGCTCTTATCTGCTTTAACAGCCTCCAGAGAGGTTTGTAGCTGCCATCCTCCTTGTTGTGATTGGAACTGCTGTTCTGCTTTGGTAAAACAGCTGCCTGCCAGGGCCACAGCTAGAGATAAAACCGAGCCCTGCTGTGGAGGGAAGGGGACGTCTTTCCAGGCAGGACATTTGCATCTTGCAGTTGTGACTAACAGGGAGCTGGTGGATGGCTCCTTTCCCAGTCCTGGGATTGTGCTGCATCTGGGACTTGTTCTCCAAGGCACAGGGAAACCCCCTGCATTATGTCTGTGGTAGTATTTGGAAGTCTCTCCCCTCCATGCTGCAGCCCTCATATCTGTTCCCTGGTTTTCTGGAGGTCTCTTCTTATTTGACTGGGGGAAACCTTCCCCTGAGGGCTGCTGCAGACCGTGAGTTGCCCCAGTGTGGCACACATGCTTTTGAGCCCCAAACAGTCCCTGTCTGTACTGGGAACACTGGTCCTGCTGTGGGCTGGCATTTGAGGGTCCCATGGGAGCACGCAGGCTTGGCTACCAGAATATTTGCAGCCTGTGGAGATGTTGACTCCCTAGTTCTTAAAACTGACTAAAGCTGGTAAGTCCTGGCACTGTTTTTGCTCTGGGTATTAACACTACAATATACAGCTATTGTTTCCCCTTTGGTACCTAACAAAGAGGTGCTGGTCCTTCCCTGGCAGGTGGGGAGCTGGCTGGGAAACCCCAAGCTCTACCCTGCTACTCCACCTTGTCTTCCTCACATTTCAGCATCACCAGAGAGCATGCACACACACCTCTGTGTGTCTCTAAGCAATACCCTTCTCCCTGCTGTGGTGCTGGTAGGAGAGCAAAGTGGGGGTGCAGCCAGCCTCTGGGTTCTGGGGAGAGATGGGGGCAGCTGGGGTTGTTCAGAGGCCTGGCCTCTGTCTCTACAGCTGGTAAGTGGCTGGTTAGGCTCCATGCTGCTGGCAGGGTTGCATGGGATGGGGAGCCAGCAGCTCCCTGGGGAAATGCAGGGCTGCTCTCCTGCAGCAAGCAGGACCTGGCTGCTCCTGCTTACCTTCACAGCCCGGCTGGACTCTGCCCTTGCTGCTTGGCCCTGCAGAGCCACCTGGCTCAGGGACAGCAAGCTGCATCTTGCTCAGTCACACTTACATCACTAAACACCAACTCCAGACCTGTCCCCTCTGGCACCTGAGAAATCAGCTTGTCTTTCCTGTGCCAGGGCTGGCTACCAGGTGGGCTACGGCCTCCTGTGCAGCCGAGCTGAGCTGGAGCCAGGGGCAGCACCGAGCTGCTCGCTGCTGTTCCTGCAGAGTAACTTTGCTCCCGGGACCTTTGCTCCTGCCCTGTGCCACTAACTGCTGTAGGTGATAAAAGGCAACAGACACCAGGGCTTCCTGCTGGCCGCACCTTCCTCTGGAGGAGGCATCTCCAAGGTTTCCTTCTCTGGGTGACCACAAACGTTTATTTTCCTGCACCTGCCTTCCCCTGCTAGACCTGGAGGAACCTGAGGGGTATGAATGGAGCTTTTTGGATGGTCTTGCCAATGCCACCCTGACCTCAAGGTGTACTGAGGCATCCGAGGGTTAGGGCGCACGGCTTCAGAAAGAAATTTCCTACATCAAAATGTTTTTAAATGGTGTATATTTTATATTAAATTTTTTTGGATGTATGTAAAATACTTGATTTGTATTAAAACTTGTAAATTGTATAAAACAAAGAAACTAAACCAAACCCAGACCCGCACACACCCAGTGTATGAATGGCAATAAATGACTGTCTTGGGTAACACCCCACAAGGGTGGGGGGGAGTCTGCACCCAGCAAAGCAAGGAGGTAAAAACGTGCATGGCTGCTGGGGTCACAGGGTCTGAGTCACCTGCTGCAGGGACACATCCCCAGAGCTTGATGCTCCCAGGGCCTTTTTCCCCACTTGCTGCTCAGCTTTGGGTAAATCTGTCCAGCTCTGAATGCCTCTTCCTACCCAATAACAGTCTGCTTACCTCATGGTCTCCTGCGTCCCAGGCACTGCTTTGGTGGTGGTTGGTGGCACGGTTTGAAGCCCTCTGGATCAGGTCGGGGCGAGCTGGAACAGGCCCTGCAAGCGCTGGAGAAAGGCAGCTGGCGAGAGAAGGAAACCAGGGCTTGTTCTGGGCAAAGCAGGAGCTGGTGTGGCCGTGGCCACACTCCGGTCACCAGGGAGGGTGGCAGGCAGGGGCAGCTGAGGCTTCAGGCGTGCCCAGAGCTGGGCAGGGGGGGCTGGAAGGTGGCGTTTGTCCCCAGCGCTCTCACCACACGTCACTGCCATGGTGGTAAGGCTCCAACTGAACGTGAACCTTGCTGGAGGTGACAGCAGGACTCTTACCAGGGGAGATTATCTGAGGAAACCCAGATCTTAAGCACTCGACGGGCAGGATAAAGCTGATCCTCAATGAACTTCAAACAGAGCAGGAGACAAGCTTGTGCAATATGACACGAAGGACACAAGCAGGCAAAACTATCAAAAGGGTAAAATATGCCCCACTGTTTAATAGAATTTAGTCTTAATGGATGTTAGTGGAAAACAAAACACATGATTAACACAAACAGAGCAGATGGTTTAAAATCTGTTGTCAGTCTGGTGATTACACGGGCTATTTTTTCCCCTCACTGTCTTGCTGCACGGAGCAGGTGCAGCTGGGGTCAGTCAGTCCCAGTTGCAGTGCACGTAACTTGCACACCATACAGTAGCTTCAAAATAGAGATCTAGAGTTTAAAAAATAGGCATTCTTCTGCAAAATCAAACGTTTAATTCCCTTATTGACAACGAGAGCAGCGTGGTGCTGCCCTCAGGTGGCTCAGACAGCAACAGCTCCACGCCAGTGTTCTATCCCTGACCCTAGAGTACAAGACTTGCAGTTCTGGTTAGTAAATATATAATAATAAATCACATTTAAAATATATACATTGGCCTTTAAAAAAAACACATTTACAGTTTATGGACATTGGAAAAAAATAACTGGGCTTGTCCCAGGTTGACTCGTGAGAGTAAAAATCAGTTTTAAAAGGTTTCTGCAAACCTTTTGATAAAGTGCCACCGGTTGTAGCTATTTAAAAACAGTCGGGTCCATCACGCAGCACTTGCCTGTCGGACACGGTCATTTAAATACACTCAATGCCATCCATAAATCAGAGCAATCAACTAGCTGGGAGAGAAGCATCTCAACCACCTCAAGCTGACCTCAAAGTCCCAGCCAATGATAGGAATTTTTTTTCTTTCAGGGCTTTCTCATCTTTGCTTTTCAGCCTAAAAGCCAGGCTGGCACCTCCCACTGGTCCGTGGCAGTGGGTGGGGAATGTCCAGGCGGACTCCGCTCGCAGGGGCTGCAAATGGTCTGCTTCAAAGTGAGCAGGGAACAGCTGCCTCCTCAGACACCTTCTCCCTCTCCAGTTTGGTTTTGTGTTAGTGATTTTTTTTAAAAACGGTGGACAGGTGGATTTTTATATTTTTTTTTCCCCTTTGTTGGGGATTTTTGTAGCAAATGGCACTTCGGTACAATCTTAGGTTCCCTTCTGGTGCTCTGATGTTTTCACTC